TATATATACATGTGCGTGTGATTGTGTGTCTATGTGTGTGCGTATACTAATTCGATTACGCTTGTGCACGCAAGGTCGGACCCAACTTAGGTTTTACATTTTCTTTTACTTAATAAATGTAAGAATATTATAATTTTTGTAATACAATTTGTCTCTATGTTTTATTTTATCTTGTAACTAATCAATTAAGAGTATTATATTTTTCATAATAATAACTTGTATTGTATACTGTAAAAAAGCATAACATATGGCATGTATTAAGAATTATAATCAATGTACTAAATTAAATATTCTAATTTAAGGTGTCAAAGACTTTAAAATTGACTCAAGACTTCTAATACACTTTTTCTGTGTTTGAAGTAAATTCTCTCTCTTGAGAGCGAAATTCTCTTGTTGAGAGAAACCCTAATTTCTCAGTTTTTTCCTTCATTCCTCTCGCTTGGGAGCCTTCTCCGATGTTTCTTCTTGTGTTTATTAAATTACCCACTTTCTTCGTTCCTCGGGCACTTTCCTTTTTCTCTGTCTCTGGTCTTCGTTTTTTCTTAGTCTTCTTTCTTTTCCTTTACAGCTTTTGTAGGGTTTTGCTAAGAAGCTCCTTCATGAAATCCAAAGTGACAGGGGCTTCATGTTCTGAAGGTGGAGTGGGTGAACTGGGTGATAAATAGAATAGAATTGATTTATCAGATTCAGAAAAAGCGGTTATTGAATTGGGATCCGAAGATGTATAATCCTGTGAAGAAGAATGAAATAGGAGCCCATTTGGAAAAATTATCGGCGATGAAAGGGAAAGCCTAATTGGCATAAGAAAAACCATGACTGCTATTTGGCAAATCAAGCACCCGCTTGAGGTATGAGAACTCAGAAGAAATTTCTCTAAATTGTTTTTGGTAGTATTGAAGATAGAGAGAAAGTGGGGCAAATGGGGGAATTGGATATTTGAAACCTAATATTTGATCCTGATGGAATGGGAAGAGGGACTTACAGAAGCTCACCCTGGATTCACTGAACTTAATCTGTGCGTTCATGCTCACAATCTCCCCATTAATTGGTTGAGTTCAGAAGTGGGAAAAGTTGGCAAGATCTTTAAGAAAACTCAAAATCGTAGCTTTAGTTAAAGCTGGGGGATCGAGGGGTAGTTTTCTTATGCAAGGCACTCTTGATGTGAGGAAAGCTCTTCCCAGATGTATCCATATGAGGCTCAATAACCAGCAGGTGTTGGTGAGTTTTTAGTACGAAAAGCTTATTAGCCTTTGCTATTACTGCGGCTTATTAGGGCATTGATAGAATTTTTGCTAAAAGGATAGACGAATTGAGAAAGGCAATCTAAAAGAAGGCCAATTTGGATAGTGGATGAAAGCCGCTGATGGGAAGTCTGGAGGACCTTCTCAGTCATCCAACATGCCTTCAAGTCAACCAACCGATTCTCCATCTCATTCAAATGACAATCTCCATCAATCTTCTGAAAGCGAAAACACAAATGAGATGAAAATGCATTCATGAGAAATGAACTGAACTTGCTCTTAATGAACGAAGGGGGCATTACAATCTGCTCTCTTAAAAAGATTTATGTCCTTGAAAATTACGAAACACAACTCAAAACACAAAGTTCGGATACTTCGTCCCAATCTCATCATCGCTCTCCCAAGTCGCGTCGCCCTCGCTGTGGCAGCTGCACTAGACTCTTGCAAGCATCACCTCTTGGCTCCTCAACCGATGAAACTTTCGGCCCAAAATGGCTGTAGGCACCTTGTAACACCCCGCTTATCAGAGTAAATTTTTCGCAACTTATTTCGAAAATACTTATAAATTTTTCGAAACCTTCTTAACTCGGGATGCTACTAACTTATCTACTTTAAAAATCTGTTTACTTAAATTTCATCTAACAACTAAATTAGACATAAATAAAACAGATTTTAAATATTGAACAAATATAAAAACTTAACAGTTCATACAATCAACTTGATAAATCAACCTTTAAAATCACACTTAAAATCACACTATTTCAAATCTTAAAGAAACGTAGCGGAAATCTTACAAGCGTGGTTTACAAACCGAA